TGTCCAAAAATAACACTTTGTATTCATTATTTATTACCGATAACAAGAAAAAAAAAATAACTTTATTTTACATAAAATAAAAAATTAAATCTAAAATTTCAATACAAATGAAGAGTTCGAACTATAAAATTTCTATAATCACATGTAAAAATTATTCATAAGTGTTATAAATAGCTTTTCAATAGTAAATTGTTATCCTTTTAAGGATAATTTAATGAATATTTAAATAGCAAAAATAATAAATTCAAAATTTTATTTATTCATACATAAATTCTAATAAATTAAAACTAAAAACAAAAACAATTTAAAAAGAAAACTAAAAAAAAATTTAACAAGAAAAACAAGTGCAGAAAAATCAATTTCTAGTGCCATTACTTGAATTCAGAAACCAAAAAAAAAAAAAAAACCAGAAGTCAAAAAATTAAATAGAAGTATATAAAAGACGGTGCATTTAAATTTCTGTGGATTGTTGCTGTTAATATTGCCTATACCTTCTAAGGGGGTGTAATGTATTCACGCACTTGATTGTTCAAAGAATTTATTAAAAAATTCAGTAAGCCATCTATGTTGAGATTTAGAAATTAGAATGCAATAGAATCGACCATACTACATTTTTATACCCATACGATTGAATTATCAAATGAACTGCGTGTATAGCACGGTAGTTGTATTTTATAAAACAACTAGTGCTCAATTCGACTCTTTCACACCTAAAGCACTCTTTCGAGAGCTACCCTTCTTACACGTTCAAGTATCTTGTTGGGATAAAAACCACCTAGAGACTTCTTTCTGCTGATCAACGGTCCACATTGACCGAGAAGGTGCATCGAATTCTCCTTCATTTCCTCACGGAATCTGTAAGTGCCCTCGCCTTCCAAGCCCAACCAGCTCATGTAACTCCTGAATCGGTAGCGTCCCGTTAGAAGAGTCGTAAGCATTTCCATCTGAATCCTTCCCATTCCTATTATTTTCCTGCTACACCGCAACTAATCGTAATTGCCCAGAAATAGTTCCTCAAGGATTCTCTGCGGCCCAATACAAAGTATGTCGAATGGCAGTTTAAAAGAAAAATATTGCCAAATCTCTTAAATTAGCACATAAAAATAAATTTTTTGCTTGAAATAAATTTAATGCAGAATAAAATTAAAACTAAAATATTCAACTTAGGTATTTTTTGTTTTCGAAGCTACAATAAAATTCTCTAAGAAAAACAAAAATTAAAATAAAATTTCTAAGCATGGGACACCATATTTTATTGTAAACTTTAACGAAAACACATTGTGAGCGCAATACCGGTAAAAAGATCTTCTTACTCTTTCTCCTTTATGTTTTTTATTATTATTATTATTGTTATTATTAATTTTTGTAAGTTTATTTGTATATAACATGAATTATATGTCAATGTACATAGTGTTATTTTACCATATGACCGAAAATAAAAAGAAAATTAGTTTTATATATTTTATAGTATCGGGTGATTAGTTAGTAATGAATGGTATTTGTATTTTGGGTTTAGATCAGTACGATCATTGTCTGATCAGCAGAGAACAGTATTATTCATATGTGTCTGAGAGAGAACGATACGACAGAACATCTACTGCCTTTCCTTTGCGGATAGAAAGACAGGTCCGCTTCTTTGTTGTTTCGTGTCCTGTGCAGTTTCAAAAAATTGCACCTTTTTATTCTGTTTCAGATGGTTTAGGTCATTTGTCCTAATCGTATTTAAACAGATTTGCAAATTGCAGGTCATACAAAGGATAGTAAATATAAGCAAATATTCGCTTCAAAAGCTTGTGTTCTTTTATTACATTGCATTTAGCAAATGACTTAAAAACAATTAAACGCGATTCAGCCAAACTTAGTGGACTATATTGTATCCCACAATAGGACTATCTAATATTGTATCCCACACTTGTAAAATCAAATCCTACTAAGCCGGCATTTTTGAGGGGTGTGTATACAGCAGTTCGAAACTTTTTTTGCCACGTAAAGTTATTCTACGAGTATTAGTTTTTGAAATATTCAAACTTAGTTCTAGTTCAACTTAGAGTTGCATGGCAATTTATGGCTATTGTATTTGAACCCGTTGTTTAAATTGATGGAGTTTAAAACTGTAACTGTGCCAGACAGAAGTTAAACTATTTTTGAAAGTTTGATGGTATTTGCTTTTTTTTCTTTTTGAATTATTGTGCGAATGGACGAACAGAGCCCGGTAATTTTGCATATAAAGTAGATCCAGCCTTTGGTAAATGTATGTTTTTAAATAGATAGAAATGAGATCAATAAATTGTTAAAACAACAACCCCCTATATATGTCTATAGAAAATAAATATTATTACACTCGGTTATCATATTCAAAAAAAAAATAACAATAAAAAAACCAAAGAACTAGCTATATATATAAAAAAAATACCACGTTTTTTTATAATAGGTGTTTATTTATTTACACACACATACCTACCTACATATTTCCATAATTTTCAAATTGAATGAAAATTTTTTATTATTAACTTTTTAATACGCATGCACTCTCCAATGGGGTCCTAAAAATTTATTCAAATATATAATAATAATAATGAATTATAAAAAGAAAAAAAAAATTAAATAGTATAAGTAAAACTTATAACACTTTTTATCTATAAACCGTTATAAATAAAACCGTTATACATTACATGTGTATAACAATATACAAAGATATATACATATAACAGTAAAGGAAAGAATATTCAACTACGCTATTTTACTATTATTTTTTAGTTTATTCTTTTAATTTTTGTTTTCATTTTTTAAAATTCTCACTCAATTCTTTTAACTGGTATATAAGTATTTAGCGGCTATATATATGCATGTGTATATAGAAATTGACCATTTGACTTTGGTCGATTTGTTTTGGTCATTTAGTAAAATAATTTTGAACAGTTAAAAACTTCATTTACTTGAAAATAGAAGTATAAAAATCACGCGTAAAAAATATTTTTGAAAAATTGAATTAAAAAATTGAAAAAATTTTTTTTCCCCATATTTTTAATTTTTTATTAACAAACACAAGTAAAAATATGCGAATAGAGTGCGGTGTTTTTGAGTACAATTTATTTTTAATAAATTTTAAATTTTAATTTTAAAAATATTTGGTCTTTTAAAACTTATATGGGCCAGTATTACTTATTTTTGTAAAATAATAATTATAACTGCTCGAATATATACGAAACTGAAAATATTGTCCATTGTTGGAATTGGAAGAATTTATTTCTGAATTTTGGAACATAAAACCGAAAAAAAATTTATTGACTCCTTCAGAAAATATTAAACGAAAGAAAAATATTTGAAAAGAAGGAGGTTTTGCGAAAGAATTATAAGAATTTTTTTATTTAAATTATTTTTGATATTGGATTTTAATTCAGAAAATTTTTGGCCGGCTTATTTTATTTTATTACAAAAGAAAACAAGCCTACATATAGGCAATTATTATTAAAGGATATTTATGAGAAAAATTTAAATATACTATGCAAAAATTTTGATGTAAATTAAATATTAGAGAAAACAAGAAGCAAAAGAATAATAAGAAAAAAAAAAAGCACAACAAGGATTTCCGGCAAGGCTCTACAATAAATAATTGAAATTCAAATTAAATTCAATTATACACGCTGAAATATTTTATATATAGAATTTTTACATGCTATATGTATTTGAACAGGAATCAGAGGAAAAATTGTGAATGGCCTAAAATTATAAAACGTGCAACATATACATACGCACGCATATATTGAATTTTTAAATAAAAATTATTAAAATTTCATGTTAATTTGAATTATTCTTCAAAAAAATTTTTATTATATTAAGAAATTTACATATATTATTACTCACTATTACTATATATTAACGTCACAATTTCATATATATATATATATATATATATGCATACACACAAATACTTTATAATATTATAAAAATTTATAATTCATTCACGATATTTTTAACCTTCTAAAGCAAGCATATTATATGGAAAATTTTTTAATTTATTAACAAGCTAAAAAATATACAAGGTAAAATAAAAAAATGTCCACTTGATATTTTTAACTTCTTCTATACTTCTTCTCTTCTATATATACTTGGAATATAGAGAAACTAAACGAAAAAAAAAATTAAATGTATTTTTAAGAATTTTAAAATTTTTTATATAGAAACAGCAAGCAATATAATGCCTGTTATAACAGAAAATCAGTCTATAAATGATATTAAAGATGAAAATAACATCGAAAATAATATTATAAATATTGAAAATCAAAAATTAATTAATAATAATAACAATAATGATGATGATTTACAACAAAATAATCATAATAAAGTTATTACAAATTTTCCACAACCAATAAATATACCAATAGAACCCTTGTATCCAGTTGAAATAAAATCAAATAATAATAATAAAATATCAAATGGTAATATTAATGGATTTAATTCAAATGATTCAAGTCCACTTGAAATTATTGGACAAACAACTGGTCAATTAATTAAAACTGATCATCAGCCATCTTATTCATCAATAAATTCATTTCAAATAATTAATCCGGATACATTACATTATAATTTGAATCCAAAACCGAATGCAATTGTAAGACCATTACGTCGTAATAATAATAATAATGATTTAATTGAAAATAATTCAAATAATATTAATAATGGTATTAAAAAAAATAAAAATAATAATAATAATATAAAAAATAATAAAAAAATTGAAAAAAATCAAGAAAATACAAATAATAATAAAATAAATATTAATGAAAATCATATTAATAATAATGAAATAAATTTAAATAATAATTTAATGAAAAATAAAAAATTAAAATTTGATAAAATTAATGGATCTATTGAATATAAATCAATTGATGATGGTGGTGATGGTGTTGCTATTGATGGTGATGTTAATGCTAGTACCATTAATGATAATAAAATTAATGATGATAATAATTCAACAACTAATAAAAAATCAAATGGTTTTCTCACTGAAATGGCTAATTTTGCAAAAGAATTAAATCAAAAATTACATCGTTTAAGAAGTGATAAAACCTCACCAATACGAAGTTCATCAAAAAATGTAGGTATTATAAGAATTAAAAAAAAAACACACACAATTAAATTTTATATTTTATATAATTATAATTGATATGAAAAAACCGGATTTTATATATATATATAAGCGAAGCATTTGTATATACATATAACACTTATTGAATTTTAAAATGATTCATGGGGTTTTCCATACATGTATTTTTAATAGTATTTTAATAAATTTATATTGATTTTTGAATTTTTACTTGTTTATTTGTTTAAAAACTGATTATATTGATAGTATAACAGTTTAAAACAGTATAACAGTTTAATTATAGTACGTATAACAGTTTCAGTCAAGCTTTTTTTTTTCGAATCAAAGCTATAGTTGAATTATAAATTCCATTTACAATAGAAAATACTAAATATAACACTTATATTTTCTTTATATTATCTATTATTGCATAGTTTTAGGGGAAAAACGAAATCAAAAACACAATATTTACATAATAATAGAATTATGCAATTAATTCAGATATTTTATATGATTTCTCTTATTTTATAGAAATTTGAAATTATTTACAATTCGCCCAAAAGTTGGCATTACACACACTCCAAATTTATTGTTTTGTTTTCTTTTAGAATAATACATATTCTTTCCGTTATTTCTTTCATAAAATGAAAGTATTTTTTCTAATAATATTTTTTTCTTTTATGAAAATTATTTATTAACACATGCTAACAAAACAAGAGTAAATAAAATATTATTGTTTCCGCCTATAAATATGCAATAAAATTAAAAATAATTTAAATTTCATTTTAATTGTACATTTATTTACATTTTTTTTTTAATATTTAAAAAAGAAATTAAATTTAAATAAATCCTTGTATATTTTTCAAGGATACGACATGAAAATCATGTAATAAAAACAATATAAGAAATTTTTTAAATGAAATTTGAATAACTTTGAAAAAATAATTAAGTTATAATATTAAATTAATTCTAAAAGTTTTGTTATAAAAATTTTAGACTTAATATTTCATATAAGATTAAAATTTTATTTTCTTTGAATTAAGTATCGAAGCAGAATATTATTCTTATTTTACATGTTAACTAGCTTTTATAACTTTTACATGAGTATTCCAATCTCACATGTATGTTTGCCTTATAGCCGCTTACATTTACATATTATGTACAAGTATAATTTATAACATTTCAAAGTACGTACAGGATAACCTTAAAAATATGAAAAATTATTAATAATAACCTAGTTTTTTTTTTTTAATTGACTATAATTAAATAATTATAAAGTACAAATAGAATTTTCACTTTTTAGTTGACCGCTCTAAATAATATGAGAGACGATTATGAAAACAAGTTTGAATATTTAAAAAAAAAAAAAAAACAAGTAAAAATTTATTAAATTGTCATGAAATTTATGAAAAATGGAAAATAAAATTCCCTTTTCTTATCAATTATGTTATCGTGTTGCTTATTTAAATTTTTTTAAATAATAATGATCTAAACACAAATAATAAACACTATTGCATATGTAATTTAAAAATATTTGTTGTTTTTTTTCTTTTACATACCAACACGAAATCCAATATTAAAACGAATAATTTTACATAATATTCTTAAAAATATATAGAGCACATATCAAAATAATAATAATAATAACAATAATAATAACAGTAACAGTAATAATGATGTACTTAATAAACGACCATTATTTGTAACAACTGTACCAAGTGGTATATTTTTACCACCAGCAAAAGATATTTCACCAACATCACAAAAACGTATCTATTCATTTTCATCTCGTCCAAAAATTTTCACTTTATATCGTTCAAATAATAATTATCCAGCAGCAGGTGGTTATTATACAACCGAAACATATCAAAAGAATACAAATAATAATAATGATAATTATAAAAATAATATTAATAAATTAAATAATGACGGGAATAGCAATAATTATAATAAAATTAAAGAAACAATAATAGATGATGATAAAGCTAAAAATTCATTAAATGAACGTATGAAAAGAGATGTTTTTCGTGGTAGTGATGAAATACGTCCATATAATTTTTATCAAAATAATTCATCAATGAATTCATCAATAAATGGTAGTAATAAAGCATTAAATAAAAAGGATTTAAAAAGGTAAAAATATGTAATGGTATCTTGTGTGTGTATTGCTTATGAGTATTGTGTATGTTTACAAAATTAATTAAATGTCTTAAGTACATATTTTTTACTTATAAAATTTATTTACATATATTATTAATTAAAATCTAAAAAAATTTATAATATTTAAGAAAATTTATTAAACTACATATTGGGTAAGATTTCTTCTTAATACCTAAAGAGACATAAAGTAATTTAACACTACTGTAGCCAATATAATTTTCTAAAAAATTTGTTTTAAATCAATCATTTTCTCTGAAACAAACGAAAGTGAAAAAAAAATCGAATCCGTCATAAACGATTATTATGACGGATTTGAACGTTTATAGATTAGCAGGGGTCATCAAGAGACCAGGTTACTGTAGCCATAAAGACTTTCCAGCTGGGCCTATTATCCTCACATAATTACAGATTCATCTAAGCGCAATCTTCCTAAGCAAGTTCGAGCGTGCCTCAACATATCCCCCCAAAGTGAACCAATCGCCTCCTGGCTAAAGGTTCACAAAAGCAAAGAATATATTCAGTCATCACATTTTCATCATGGCAGAATAAATACAAGCGGCCCCCAAAATTATCTCAACTTATCTGCTCCTTCTGATAGATCGACCTAGAACGAAGAGCTTCGTCTACCTCATTTCTGACGCCCAACCCCTACGCTTCTGTTGCTTGGGTTCCATTCGTTCTGCCTCCCACGCCTTCATATCACCACTAGTCAACCAATAAAAAGGTTCGGACCCAACAAAAGCTGAAGTATATTAAAAATTCAACTAATGAAATATTAAACTTCTTAAGTTAATTAATGATTCTATTTTTTAATCGGAAGGTGTTTACTTTTAATTTTTTGCTCTTATAAAAATTTTAAAAGAGCCTACAATTAAAAAGAAGTAAGCTGTAAGAAATTGCGGAAAACATAAATACCCCAAGCCGAAAATGAGATCTCTTAACTACTCGTAGGCTAACTAACATGTAGGCTTGTATTATGTCTTAAGTGTTATACATTTAGAGTATGATATACCTCTTACTCATAAATAGAACGCCGCTGTTACAGTATGTAATAAAGATGGTTTGAGAAAATACTCAAATATTGTTCATTAATTTATAATGACAATTAGTATTATGAAAATCTAATTTAAAATCTAATAATCAGATTATATTCAATAAGAAAAGTAGAACAAGACCACATTAATATAGGAAATTGATTAAGTATAAGACAAATTACTAATTTAATATATGGTGGGTGCATTGTATTTAGTTACAAATTTAGGTTAAATACACAAAAATGTAAATGCAATAAAATAAAGTTATTGTGTCCCAGATTTTAATAAACCAAAAATGATAACAAATTTTTAACTTACATTTTTGTTTGTTTCTATCCTTTAACTTTTCATTATTTTTACAATTTTATTGACATTACCCAAATTACATATATGAATACCATTACCAATAATATTTATGTATGATAATATTTTTATTCCACTTATTTTTCTAATAATTGTGTCAAGGATATCTAATAGAACAATAATCGTAGAGAAAAAAAGGACTCACATACTCGTACAATAATTATGTTAACATTTTACTTTATGTTGTATGACTTGTTTGGTTGTGTGTATAGGTCACATAGTATAAATACCGATATCGTTTTGATTGAATATTTTTGATTTTTTTTTTATTTATAAAAAACTATTTTTCAAATATTATTGATATTTAAAGAGAAAACCATAACCTGGGATCAAAAATATTTTATTTATATTGAAATATTTAAAGAGTAATTCCAGGGGTGTGTAAATTATAAAAATTCCAGGGTAAGAGTATAATATGGGTAAAATAAAATGGTTTTAAGTCCGTGACAAAATTTTTTTTTATTAGAAAATGTAAAAAACATCGTGTTTATTACTCATATAGATTCTTTTCCTGATAATTATAGTATTAAAAATATTATATAGGCTGGGGTATTAAAAATATATATGGGGTACTACAAATATATGTGTATATATTTAGGAAATTATAATATTAAATAACATTATATAATATTCATTATTATTAGGTTTAATATTTCAATTGCAAAATAATCTTGATAACCTAATTTTGGCGTGTTTTTTTTTTTTTTGTCCGTCGATTCTATTGATTTATTATTTCCATATGCCATACATTAAAATTAAAAATTTTTTTTTACCTTGACTTAGATTTTTTTTACTTCCTTTATACGACGCGTAAAAATTTAATAATTTTATAACACACGTAAAAAAATAGAAAACGAAATCCTTTGGGACATTTTGGATATTTTTAGAAAATTAATTTTATTTATTTTATAATAAAAACATTAACAAAAATATTTATTCAAAATGAAAATAACCTAGCAATTTGATTAATTAATTTTTGATACATTAATAATCACATATACGTATATTCATGTGCAGACATAATATACTTATAATGTGACTGCAAAACTTGCAAGATTTGGTTCAAAAGTGTAAAAAATATTTCTTTTTTTTTACATAATAGTGAAACTGTAAGAACTCCTCTTAGGAAGACTTTCATATCAAATTGAAGTTACACAAAATATAGATGTGAAACCTTAACTATGGAAAAATCGCCCTTGTTGTCCAAATTTGAGGCTACCAGAGAATGGATTCACAGAACGTTGCTTCTCAATAGTCAATTTGTATAGGAAATCGATTTGTTTAGTCTCTGGATTTAGCAGGGCGAAAGGGTAGAGCATTTATTGTGTGAATGCGAGGCGGCAGCTTTGCTTACGACTAAGATGGTTTGGGAGAGGCTTTGTAACCGCAATGAAATTGTCTTGATTTGGACAAGCTGCAATACGATACTACAATTTTTCAGGGATATACTGCTAATGCTAATCTAAGCAGGAATATACTGCTTAGATATACTGCTAATGTAGGTAGCGATGGAAATCACAAAAGATCCTATGAGTGGACGTGAAATATGCCTAAAGGGTTTGGTTTCTACGAAGAAAAAAACACTAAATCAAATCTGCGATAAAATTTAATACTACTAAATCAAACTTAATGTAGTATGATTTTCTTGCTCGAAAAATTATTCAAAATAATTTTATTAAAACCACATTCTTTATATATGTATGAAAAATTCTGGAAAAAGAGCATTTTCTGGATAAGTGACTTTTGTGACTTAATTACAAGAAATTGAAAATTTTTAAGCAAGTTCTTAAAAAGGAAAGTAATATGGTTGATTTCAAGCTATCAAAGAATGAAATTATAAAAAGTGGCTAATATACACAAATAAACCAAAGACTATTCAAAACTAGTAGTGGCAGTAGTAAGGAGAAGGGGAGCTCACCTGGCCAACCGTGGGAAGCTCACGCAATAGGCTAAGAAAAAATCTCAGTAACCCTCAAATTAATATGCGACAGACAACCTTCGTAGCACCTCCAAACCTGTACCCAAAGAGACAATACCCTGTCACTAAACTTAAAGATCAGCACTACCCTATCTCAACAACACCTTCGTTCTCTTTTCATATTCCTACAAGGCCACAGGGATCTCGCTACCCTGCAATTGCGAGTCTTCCCCCTATGATGTCAATAAATATTATGTATGACGTCAATGAATTCCTTCAGCGATACACGCACTAATCCATTCACCAATCACAATTAGAGCATAGACGAAACTAATTAGCAAGTTGGTTCTACAAAATTAAGTATAAAACTTCCGGTGAACATTATTTCTGTAATTTTTTTTTGTATAAACTTTTGAACTTTTAGCGAAATAGTAAAATCCTTTTGTTTTTTTTGTTTTTTTTTTTATTTGACTTTTTCAGGTGGACATCTGTTTTGACCAATTATAATTTTTGTTTATTACATGAAATTTTCATCCTTTTTATTCTACTAATCGTTATTTTTTAATCACGAAACAGTTGGTTTTTTTTCTCTACTTATATATAGAGTTCAAAAATCCCCTTTGAAAAGAAAATTATAATAATTATACAAAAGTTTCATCATAAGTTATTGAACTTTGTTCTAAATGAATCTTCTATGACTTTAAGCATATGCGCTATTGAAAAGTAAGTGAACCTTTTTTGTGGAATATTTTCGAAAAAAATCATTTTAAGTAAATGAAAATTATTTTTTTTTTTAGTTTAAATGATTGCTTTACACTAACATTCATTCATTTATATACACAAAGAATTGTTGACCTTTTCCTTTCTGTCAAATTTACAATTTACGTTTGTTGTCAGTTTCCGTTTGATTATACCAGAATTTAATTAAACTTTGATTAATTAATTAATCTTTGACAATTTATACCTTTTTTGGGACATTTATAATTTGATTTGCGAAATAAATTAATTTTAATAAAATTGTATAAGATGAAAACACAATAGAAAAACTTATTATGCATTTTTTGATGTTATTTACCATTGCACATAAAGAAAACAACTAGATTATCAGAAAACTATTCAATTTACTAACTTCAAGACATATGCATTGAGCAAATTCGCAACATTTATACTTTGCATTTCTAAAACCCCCCTTCCACAAATAAATTTTATTTTCAAAAGAGAATGGTTAGGAAAAGCATAAAAGATGAGCTATGCTTTCTATTTTCCCAAAAGATCATCAGTCTGCAATCATGAAAATCACATGAATTACTTTCATTTGCAAATGACAGTCATATGCAAATAATAAAGCATGTTAAAATCAATCAAATTTAACAATTAATTATTGTAAATGCAGTAACACATGAAACCAAAATTCATGACGCTGTTGGAATTCATGAGTTTTGCAAATTGTTAATAAATGACGTTCTGGAAAATTGCCTACCTTTGACATTTCAATCAGTTAAATAAAGAGCAAAGGTCAGTTTAATTAAGAACATTTTTTACAATTATACTTGCACCCTCTCTTCTTTTTTTATTTATTATACTGCTTATATATTGAAACATAGCGGTTCTTAATCGTCAATCATTGACTGACATTTCAATATTGAATATGCATAATA